TTAAGTTGTTGAGACTGGCCTCAGACGTGATCCTCTAGCCTCAGTCTCCTAAATTTCTGGGATTATAGGCATGCACTACCATGCCCAGCTCTACTTTCTATCTCTATGAGTTGTTCTGGACACTTCATCTAATAGGATCCTATACTACATGATTTTTGGGGATTAACTTCCTTCACTTCATGTAATGTTTTCAAGGTTCACTCATATTGTAGCATGTCTCAGTTCATTTATTTTTATTGCCAAATACTATTCCATTATGCAGACAGACTGCATTTTTTTCTCCACACATCCATTGATGGGCATGTAAGTTGTTTTTATTTTTTGGTTATATAGAATGATGCTGCTATGAACATTGATGTACAAAGTTTTGTATGAATATATGTTTTCATTTCTCTTGGGTATATGCCTAAAAGAACTGCTTTGTTAAGTGGCAACTCTGTGTTTAACATTTTGAGAAACTGCCAGAGTGTTTTCCAAGGCAGCTTCATTATGATAGGGTGCTATATTTCTCTCTAGCACTTACTGTATTCTAACAGAGCCCCTAATTTACCTACTCACCTTGTCTGGTGTCTTTCTCCCCAACAACATGTAATTCCAAAGAGCCAGGGGCTCTCCTTTGTTCACTGCCACATCCCCAGGGTATGGACTAGTGACTGGCACATCATAAATAGATGTTCATTAAATATCCTTTGAATTAAAAGAAAAAGTGCCTGGTACATACAAGTTTATCAATAAACATGTGCAAGGTGAAGTGGAAGGTGTTGGTTAAACATGGGAAAAGCTTAAAAAGACTATCTGTACAGTGATAATTCCAGCAGCTGAGAGACCAGAATCTACTGAGGAGGTTTGGTGACAGAACCTCTAAAAATGCTCCCAGATGAGCAGAGTAGCTAAAGGAATCCCACTGCCATCATTTTGAAGTGATGAATACACTAGTAAAGTAAAAACCTGAATTATGTTATGTAAGCCTAGGTATTCTGGCTTCATTCAGAGCAGGATCTGTTGCCTTTCATTTAGCAGATATTTGTGAACATTACATGTGCAAAGCCCTGTGACTCATCTCAGGTCTGAGAAATGGTGGGGTTTTTTTTGTTGTTGTTTTTTTGTTTTTTGGTCTGGTTTTGCTTGCTTATTTTGTTTTTGAGATGAAGTCTCCCTATGTTACCAGGGCTAGCCTTGAACACAGTCTTTCTACCTCAGCTCCATTTCTGGGAATACAGCTACATGCCACCATGCTTGGGAAGTTCTGTGAAATAAAAGGAAACTCAGGGACCATTTATCAGCTCCCTAGTCCCCGAGTTTCAGGTGGGAGAGTTAAAGCCTACAGAGGTTTCCTAGGAGAGGGAGGGAGCCTCAGTCCAAGGCCTGCCCTGGCATTGTCCCCTCAGCTCTTCTAGCTAGCACTGCTGACTTTCAAAATAGCAGCTAGGCTCTGACTTATCTGGAGTAACTCTTTATAACTCAACAAAGGGCTGAGCCATGATACGTGCTTGTGTCTGTTTCTATCTTGAATCCTGGGGATTAAATGACTTGGTTTCCCTTCTTAGACCTCAAATACAGGCAGCGTGACACATAAATGCAAGCATCTGCTGACCTCTGGTGGTCACTGTGTGATTCATCTGTGGTCCAGCAGCCAGGGCCCCAGTGCATATCTGAGACATTTTTGGCCTGTGACTTCATTTCTCAAAGCATTTCCCCTCAATTTTCTTACCTTGTGGCATTCTCTATAATCCTGAGCGATGAGGAAAGCCAGGATTCCCATTCCCATTGTACAAATGAGTGTCAGCATCTTGTGGTCCAGTACCGTATCCACCTCCAAATCCTTACCTGACTTTGGTAAGGCCATTTCCCACTCCCAGCTTCAGTTACCCACATGTAAAATAGGAGAGGCTCTACACAATACAGGTCTTCCAGCCCCAAATTCTCAAAGTGGGAAAGAGGACTTGCTCAAAATCAGAGTGCATCAGGGTAGAGGCACTCCAAAGCTGGAGGTCACCTCGCCATAGGTGTAACAGCAAACAAGAAAACCAATTCCTCCATCTTTGTGCTCTGGTTGTGTTGAAGTGCCACATGGGTAAGTGGATAGATGAGTAGGATGGTGGATGGGTGGATAGATGGATGAATGGATGAATGAAGCAGAAATAAAGAACATGGAGTTCACTCAAGCAGCAACTGGGGCAGAGCCACTTGCCTCCCCTGCTCCCTTACAATTCCAGCTGCCAACCTCCCTTGGCAGGCTAGTCCAGATCTATCAAACTAAGGTTCTAGAGCCACCTCCACCAGCTCAGAGCTGGGACCAGAAATAAAGGGAATGAGTCTTCGCCCAGATTTCCTTCCTGCTATTTTATTTACCACCATACTTAATAGCTATAACCAGGGGAGGAGAGACAGGAGCCAGAGGCCATGAATAGGAAGCTCCAAACATGGGCATTTCTTACAGAACAGTCCCTTCAACAAACTGTGGCTGAAATTAAGCTGTTTACTCACAATAAAGCTCAGCACAGCTGGAGGCAGTGGGCTGGTGTGGAAAGAGTACACCCCATATACCTATAGTCTGGTTCAAATCAAATGACTCAGAGCAAACTCCTTAACCTCCCTGTGCCTTTTTTTTTTTTAATTTACTGTGGTACTGGATACCTAATCCAGGGCCTCACATGTTAGGCAAGCAATTTGTCACTAACCTACATCCCTAGCCCTTTTATTTTATTTTGAGACAGAGTCTCACTCAGTTGACAAAGTGACCTTGAAGTTGCAATTCTCTTTTGTGGGTAAGCCTCCTGAATAGCTGGGATTACAGGAGTACGCCACTGCACCCAACTGTGCTTTGGTTTTCTCAGCTGCAAGATGGGCATGATGCCTGGAAAGTGCTATAAGAAATTAATGAGGTAAAATATTCAATGTTTTCCATATTACAGCTGTTCAGTAACTAGAAGTTTCCTTCCTTATATCCCAGATTATGGAGAAATTCTAGAGAGGGAAGCAACAAGGTCCAGTGTACACCTTGCAAATTTTTCAACTAAGCTTTTCCAACTGCTCCAAAGTAGTGAAATACATTGGGGGAGGGGCCGCACGCATGCCAGGCAAGCACGCTACCACTTGAGCCACATCCCCAACCTAGCAATGATTTCTTGATTGATGTTGAGAATATGTTTTCACAACTACCAGGAAGTAAACAGGACTGCTCTTTCCTTTCACTTCTTAGGTGAGCATCTCCCTTGTCTGCATCACCTAAACCTGTCTTAACTTTCCTTAATAGCTTATGCGTCCCAGAATGGATGGCTGAAGGCCACTTGGCATAACAGCAACTAGGTTTGAGTTCAGTTCTGCTGTTAAACAGCTGACCTCACAGGACTGACATTACTGAGACCCCATAATATCATCTGTGAAATCATAGAGTTAAGAGCAAGGATTTGATATGTGCTCACATATCAAATGATATGAGTCACAGGCCCTCTGCTTTCATCTGGAGTGATAAAGACAGGGAGTCTAAATGTGGTGATTAGGAGATGGGCTTCAGTTTGAGACAGGCTTGGGGTTTGATTTTGTCACTGTCCAACTCTGGTCAAGATTCTTACTCTTTGAACCTCATTTTCTCACCCATCAGATGGGAAAAATTCAATGAGATCATGTTTGAAAAGAGCTAAGCCTTGTGCATTACTGAGCACATGAGTGCTCAATAAATGTTAGTATGTTAATGGTTCTGACTACTGGAATGGGCTTCTCTGTAACATTTCATTGGATATGAGTTCCATGTGTGTGTCCATGTGCATGTACATATTTACTGGACTAAATCTTTAAGTTCCTCCTCCTCATAATATTTTCCCCATCCAACACTCCATTCTTCCCTTAATTTTTCTTCTTTTTAATCTCCTTCTTCCCTTCCAATAACTAAGTGGCTTCTCTTGAATTTCATTGCTTCTTTTTCCCAACCTAAATGCAATAGCCTCTGTTTTTTCAATAAAAAAATGAGATTAAGTCAATCAGAGGTAAGTCAGTGGCTTATAAAAGTAACCAACTCCTTCCTAGCTCCTTCTACCCACCCCAAGGGTCTACTCTGTCTTTTGGGTACCACGTGGGGACTCAAAGACCTTCACTCAGGCAAAGCCAGTTTCTCCAAGAAAGAAAGGTGTGTGGTGCCTGGGAAAAGCTCAGAAAAGCTGCATTAGGTGAAACATAGGACATAGAAAGTTCCTAGGGATAATTTGGAGATAAAAGGAACTGGGCCTGTTCTGCAGCCTCCTGAAGATTACAGTATCCCCAAGGTCTTCCTCCTTTCTGGGTTCTATGCCAAGGAAAGAAAAAGATTTGTTGAAATAGAACAAATATACTGAATATAAGAAATATACCAAAAAGCTAGCTTATCTAAGAGAAGAGGCACATTTTTGTTATTGTTTTGGTTGATTTTTTGGTGCCAATGTAGTCATATTGCTTATATAATATGAATATTTTGAATTAATTTATTTATTTTAATCAATTGTGCTCAGAAAAAAAATATGAAACTAGAAAATGATGTTTTGGGCTCCCACTGAAAAGAAGCAGGCTCCAGTGTTAAAGGAAGACCATAAAAGGGAGAAATAAAAACATCTGCCTCCCTACCCCTAACCCAGACCCCTCTGGCCTCAGAGTTCACTGAGATCCTCCAGTTTATGGGCAAGGCTGCCAAATGGCACCAGGCAGCAGTGCTGGAAAGAGTGGGGAGGAGGAATGTGGAGAACTTCCCAAGGATGACTTCCAAGAGCCACTGAGAGGACTAAGGTCCTCACCTAGCAGCTGTGGTGATGCAGAATGACCATTCTATGAGAGTTGGGACACCTGGTTTTAATTCTCTGCCACTAACTTGCCATATGACCTTAGGTAAATCAGGCTATTCTTTAGGCCTCAGTTTACTCATCTGTAAAATGAGAAGACTCAGTTAACTTAAAAATAAGTACCAAGCCCTTCCTCTGTGCACTGTCCTGATGCTATATATATAGAGAAATAAGACAGTCATTTCTTCAAAACACAGTGAATGACCACTCCATTTACTAGTCATTGTGGTGTCAGTACTGCTATCATCAAAACATTTGCAACCTGCTCAGGGAGACTGTGCAAACAAGTAATGACCAACAAAACTGTGCAGAGATGAGAGTGGACACACCAAGGGCCAGGAAGAAGCAGCCTTTCCTTCTAGGGCCAGCGAGGAAAAGCATCAAAGAAGAAATAAGGCTTGAACTGAATCTTGGAAGGTCCTTGGTTCCCAGAGTGTACACTCAAGTCAGGGATTATCACAAACACCCAAACAGCTACTACACAAGACAGAAAGAAGCTGCTACAGGAACCAGATTGGACACTATCAGGATGTAGTCACGATAGCAAGCAGAAAAGGGAGTGGGAACCCCCAAGGCTATAAGCTAACTGGGGCCATTCTGATGGTAGCCATTGGAAATGATAGGTCTAGGGCCAAGCACTTGACGGCCTCATGCCAGTTCTTGGAGGCAGGTTCCCTTTCTATAACCTGATTCTTTCAGATAAGGAAATAGGCCCATGGAGGTTACAAGGTTGCATGAGTGATAAGTGGCGGAAATAGCACTCTCTGATGCCCCAATCTGAAGTTCTCACCACTGGAATGCCAGGCAGTGGCATTATTGAGTCATAGTCATAGTCATTCCCATCTAAGTTTCCATTTCCCAAACACCTTGGTAGGATATATCACTTTAGAAATGTGGGTACTGGTGTTAGCTCAGTAATGGAATGCATACTTAACGTGTAATTCCCTGGGTTCAATTCCCAGTGCAGGGAAAGAAGGAAGAAAAAGAAATAGGGGCACTGAAAAGTCAATCTTTGCCTGAATCATGGAGACTGGCTTGATTCAGCCTCTGAATCAGGACTGTCAGGATCTCTTTCACCAGAATAGAGAGGATGGGTAGGACAAAGAATATTAGAATTGCTGAGGGATTTTTTGGTGCTCTGCTGTCTGCTGGTCTCGGTTTATTGTTCAATGATGATGTAGGCTGGCTAGCTTCTAGTTCTTCTCTGGTCATGACTAGTGTTGTGACCCTGGGTCAGATCATTCTGCCATAATTAGGGTGGATGGCTTTTCTTGCAAGACTGGACCTTGTGCGTCCGGATTTTATCCAAGTACTGCTGGATGTTCATGGATTCCTGTCTCCAGCGCCCCAGCTTTCTGAGTTGATCTGTCAAAAACTTTTTTTTCAGATGGTCGTACAAATGGCTCATCTTTTTCTTGGTCTTGTCTGAAGCTCTTATCTTACAAAAAATAGAGGTGAGGTTAGGGATGAAGAAGCCACTTCACAGCAAGATAAGCATCTAGGGCTGCTGATTTGGGAGTGGAAAATGTCCCTGCTGGACCCAATATTCATTTCATAAATACCATATTTCATAGGGAGCCTTGGTTTCCTCACTTATAAAAAGTGAATAACCCCTATGTTACATTCTGACAGTGTGCAGCCAAGGAGTCTGATTTTGACTGTAATGACGAAGAACAGTCAGTAAAAATGGGGGATTGGGGTTGTGGGAAGGGTGTGTCTAGAAAGAGGGAGAAACACCTCTTTCTTATAACCACCATCACCCTGTCCCTGTTAATCATCTAGTGCTTCTCGTATATTGTCTGTGAAATCCCTTATTATCCCATGAATTCTTATTGTTACTTCTAATATAACTTCTTCCCTGTCCTAACAACATTATAAGGTCTGGGAAGGCACATCTGTGTCTTACACATTCAGTTATTTATTCCAACAAGCTAGCTATGGGAAGGGATGCTAAGACAAAACCGCCACAGGTGTTTCCAATAACTAAAACATAGTCAGAAAGAGAGAGACACACACATAAATATTTCTAAACCAGGAAGAAAGTAATTACTCATAAAAGAAGCATTGAATTCAAAAGAGGGCAGATATCAATAAAATCTGCATAGGGCTGTGGGTGTAGCTCAGGGGTAGAGTCTAGGCTTAGCATCCATGAGGCCCTGGATTTGATCCCCAGCTCTGAAAAAAAAAAAAATGCTGCATGGGGTGCTGAGGGGCCTGCCATTCCAGCATTGATAGTGGGGAGCTTTTGGGTGCAGAGAAACCTCTCCAGAGACAACTTCAGAGAACTGTATCTGCTTTATTGTACAGCAAAAATAGCTTTTATAGTGGGTATATGCCAATTTACCTATAATAATCACAATAGGCTAGAGGTGATATGCATATTACAGGAGTCCAGACACCAAGAATTCAAAAACTGCCATATAACTCCTTTCAAAGGGAGCAAGGAAATTGTGCTTGCCAGTGTTCTGACAGTACTCTGTCCCAAAACATAGAATTCTGTTAGCACTTTCTTGCTACACAATGAGCAAGATAAGTGTCCTCTATGTAGGTCCAGAGTCAGGCCCTGTAACAGAAGGGATGGCATATAAATTGGGGTTGGATTTTGAAGGATGGGGAGGTTTGAGACATGTAGAAACAGAATATGGTAAGAGCTGATCTAACAAGCTTCCCAAGGGATTCAGATAAGCACTAAAATTATTTGAAGATCTAGCACAATGCTAAGCAAAGGAGTTCTTAATAAACGCTAGTCAATGTTGACATGATTATTTGACACAGCAAATTAAAGGGAGGATAGTGACAAAAAGAATGGACATTAAATGATATAATTCAAATTGGTGGTCTCTATATCTGGCTGAATATAAGAAACACTTCAGTTGCTTGATAAAATTATAGACCTCAGAAATTCTAGTTTAGTAGGGTTTGGAGGGACCCAGGAATCTATTTTCTTTATCATGTACCTGAGATAATTCTGATCCAGCCACTGAGAAGTAAATGGCTGTTTTTAACCACTATTTTCTAGTCTACTCCATGACAGCTAGTATTTGGGCTGTCTCAGCTAGTGATTTCACTTTGAGCTTGGCTTAAGAGAAATCAGAGTTCCTCAACATTGACACTATTGATGTTTGGGGTTGGTCAATTCTTTATCATGCACATTGTAGGAATTTTTTTATCAGCATCCTTGGCCTCTACCTACTAAATGATAGTAGCATCCACACCACTTCAACTTCTGATGACCAAAAATATCTCCAAACATTGTCAATGTCCCCTGTGGGGCAAAACCATCCTGCTTGAGCACCATGGCTGTAGATGAATGATACCAGCCGTTACTCACTGTTCTCAGAGCATGCTCAAGGGATTCTTAAGACACTAGATCTTAGTTGTATTCACTGAAATTGGTGTCCAGCCAAAGCTATCTCTTTCCCCAGTGTGAATACTTTTGGTGGGGAGACAAGAATATTGCCACATTATCACTGAGGTGCCTGAATCCACTGAGTTCCTGCAAGCCAGCCTCTGGGCTAGTTTCCAGGTTTATAACATAAAGAAGGCAGTCTCTTTCCTTAAGGAAGAATCTGCACAATGACCTGGATTGCAATTCTGCAATGACCATGTGACGCAAGTAAATTACTCCATGTCTCTAAGTCTCAATTTCCTGATTTATTAAATGAGTGTAATAATATATAATAGATATCAAGTCCCTATCATACATAGGGCTAAATACTGTTTTAAAAGGAAACTTCTGGGTGGCTGAAGGATGAACCAGCCCTCTAGATAATACAGAAGTTTCCAGGTACAGTATTTCAGAGTTTTTTCCCCCCACTGGCAAGGTACAACATTCTCTCCAAAGTGGGTATAGAGGTTAGTCCTGAGTTAGCCAGAACACAACACACCACCTCATCACCATGATTGAAGCAGAAATGGGCCCAAGTCCCAACTGCAGCCAACTGGGGTTTTTTATCCAGGACTTGACTAACTTGATCAATAGCAGAAGCACTGTGTTCCCTTTGTGGTCTACATGCCAGGGTGGCTTGTCCCCCAAGGAAAATCAACTTGATTATGATAATATTCAGAAAGCAGCAAGAGAAGAAGAGGAGGAGTGGAAGACACACCAAAGGACTGGAACCCCTGGCTTCCCTCATCCCAAACACTGGTGAAGCTGACCTATCCATCCTTGATTATGTAAACCCAGATTCCTCTATTTTTCTTGAACTAGTTCAAGTTGTTTATATAACCTGCAACTGAAAGGGTCTTAATAGATCCTATATAGGTCTTAATAGATCCTATAAGAAAACAGAAGCTGGGAAGAACAAATCACTGAATGTTACCCAAAGCTGGCCTGCCCATCTCCAAGCCCAAGTCCACCTTATTTCCACTATACTACTCCACTGCAAGTTTAGTAAACACCCAGGCCCAGATATGCTTTGGGGTTTTTGGTTGTTGTTTCATAACTCTGGGGATAGAACCCAGGGCATCATTATACATGCTAAGCAAGTGCTCTGCCACTCAGCTACATGGCCCCCCACCCAAGTCTTTGTTTTTGGTTTATATGGCCCTCAAGAGGATCTGGTACTCTCTTTTAAGGCTCTCCATTCTTTTCTTTTTTGGCAGTACTAAGGATCAAACCCAGGACCTCATGCATGCTTGACAAGTGCTCTACCACTGAGCTACATCCACAGACCTTCTCCACTCTTTTCTATGTGAGAATCCCATAGGCCCATCCAGATTTGACCCAGGAACATGGAGGAAAGCTCAACAATCAAAAAGGGGACAAAAGCTCAACTCTGGAATAAATGCTCTACTTGAAGAAATGAATCTTATTCAATTGTCTCTTCCTACTGCCTAACAATGCCTGTCCCAAGCAGTTCCTAAAGACATGTTTAATGAATGAATCAATCAGGGTCCATGGGGAGCACTGGAGTGCCAACACTTGGTCTTCCAAGTATGTAGGTCAAACCCTACTTGTTCAGAATCAAAAAGAGCCTCAGTTTTAATCTGGAAAATGGGGTTAACACCCAAAGTAAAAAAATGACCAGATAAATGTTGATGTTGATTCAAGCTCTAGAACCTAAGATTTTGTATGGGAACAGTAGGAATGTATTCATGAATTCCCTAGAGACATAATATACTTTGAGAAAAAAATACAAGAGGCAAAAAACCATGGAGTTTTTCTCTCTGGCTCCTTTAGTTCAGGAACAGGTATGATACCATGAACAAGTCAGTAACCCCAATTATCAACTGCCTCCTCTGTAAAAATGAGGCCTCCCCTAGAACATCTTCATGACTCCCTATCACCTCAAGGATCTACTGCTTCCAGTATATGGGGAATATAAAATGAATATGAGTTAAACCCTTAACACACTCTAATGCAAAAACTGTGACTACTTTACCTCTGTCTCATAGATTCGTTGTACACTGAGGTTGTCACGAATAATCACTCGAGATAAGTGGCTCTTGGGTAAAAATTTGCTCAATGCTGCTTCACTGGAATCCATTAAACTGGAATGGGGAGGGGAAAGTAGTACCAGTTAGAGATGGCTGAGACCAAAGCCAGGGTTAGGGCCTGATTTCATTGGCTACTGGGGGAGTGGCTGAAGTTTCTTAGGACATGCACAGCTTTCTCATAATTTTTAGAGGAGCAAGGGAATAACCATGTTTCTCCTTGTGGACAAGGTGTGTTCTAAAGAACTGTGACTTGGGTACCTGAGAAGGATGTTGAAGAGCCAAGAGCAGTCCAAAGAGAAGTGTAAACGGAATCAGAGACAACCCTCAACCTCAGTAACTATTTTTTGTTTGTTTGGGTTTTATTGGGGGGGGGGAGCAATGCTGAGGATGGAACCCAGGCTCCTGCACATACTAGGCAAACACTTTATTACTAAGCTATACCCCTAGCCCTAGAAGCAGTTACCTTAATGAGAAAAAGAAGGTGAAACAAAGAATCTTAAAGAGTCAAAGTTGGAGAACCAGGTCAAAGGGTTGAATTTGAGAGAGGACATGGTGGGTTGGAGCAGAACTTCACAGCATAAATCTAAGGAGAATCTAAGAAGTGGGGAGTAAATCAGAACAGGGGAAAAATAAAATAAAGAGTTTGTACAAAGATTGGGCTGGTTAATAGGGAAATTCTAAGGGAAAAGGGTTTGGGAAAAGTTTACAAACATGAGGGAAGTTTGGAGTGCACAGGGCTTTAGAAGACTCTGGAAAGTGAGAAGTAGAAGATGGGATGAGATGGGGAAGGTGGAATAGGATGGAGCCAGGTACTCCAAGTAAAAAATTTGAACAAAATGAGGAATTGATTAAAAAAAAAGAGACCAGATATTGCCAGCCACTGAGTTTTCAATATTGATAATTTGGTTACACCATGAAGTGGTTTAACAAATATATACCTTTAAATGTTTTGGCTTACTTAAAAATAAATGCTGGTATTTGCTAAAATTTGGAAACTAAATGTAGAACAATGAGAAAAGAAAAATGAATAACTTTAGCAAGCCAGACAATAAAATATATGTGATTATGTATAAAACATAAACATTGGAGCTGGGGTTTTAGCTCAGAGGTAGAGCACCTGCCTAGCATGTGTGAGGTACTGGGTCCATAAAAAAAGATAGTTTAAAAAAAAAAAACATAAACATCTTAGGTGTATTAGATGTGGAAAAATCAGGTAACTAAACAATGAACTCTTTGTGATGGATTTTTCAAAAAGTTTAATACACGTGTATGAATGGACCTGGAATGATATATGTCAAGATGCTACAGTGATTGTCTCAGATCATTCATTTTGCTGGTCTTTCTTTTCTGATTTTTCTATAAGTGTATATTACTTTCCTAACTGCGATTTTAAAAGGCAATTTTCTAAAGGGTAAAACATTTTGAAGGGTTAGATTTTATTTTCTAACTCATCTTCAGCCAATTTGGAACAATGGTCTTGTGAATATTTTTATATTTACAAACAAATATTAATAAACAAATATCTCCAATCTCTCATTTTCATTTCTCTGACTTCTATGCAGGGCAACACAGCATTAGACATGAGTTAATGGAAAAAAACTAGTTCAGAGGTCAAGGTGCTTACAGCAAGTCCCCTAAATCTTGTTTAAAAAAAAAAACAAACTAAAATTCTAAAAATATTTAAAGATACATTTGTGTGTGTGTGGTCCTGGGGATTGAACCCAGAGGTGTGCTACCACTGCACTACATAACTAGCCCTTATCATTTTTGTGGGAAGAAGTTCTCCCTAAACTGCAGAGCCTGATACATGTGTGTTACCAAGCCTGGTCATAAAACACTCTTCATCCTCTTAGCAATGCACCAAGTTTATCAATACAAGAAAAGGTTTTAAAAAAAAAAAAAAACAATGATTGGAAATATTCCCTTTCAAGTAATAAATAATGGTCATTTTGAACCAAATTGCCTTCCACCGCCAGTCCTCTACAGGGGCCTGCAAGATGCAGCCCCAGGAGTTCAGAAATGAAAAAGGGTGCGGGAAATTGGGGCTCCTAATGATAGGGAACAGGTAGACAACTGGGTTTTTTTCCAGAATCACTGAGAAACGTGGAAGCTAAGAAGACGAATGTTGGAAAGTTTCAAGCCTGAGGTGGACCCTGGTCTCACCAGGCTCAGGCAGGTTCAGAGCTCGAAGTGAAGGCTGGAGAACTGACAGGCGGGCTGATTTGGAGGAAATGTTGGGAGTAGGACTCCGGGTTACTCGCGGGAGTCAGAGCTGAAGGCGTTCAGACGGGCCCCTAGGTGTCAGAGCAGGACTGGAAAGAAGTTGGGGTCAGGGTCTTTGAGAAATCCAGGTTCCCCTAGGGTGCGAGAAAGGGGAACACGGGCCTCTGGAGATAAGCGTTGAGTGGCGCAGGTTCTGGGTCCGACTAAGAGAGTTCGGGGGAACCAAGGCTGCACCTGAAGAACACCGATGGCTGTGAGGTTCGTGGTCGAAGGAAGTAGACTTTCGGCTGGACCCCGTGGCCGGTTTCTTGGCGGTCGCCGTGCTGGTCGCGCCGTAAATCCAAGTTCCCAGTGGCGCCGGAACTGGCGGTCGCTTTGGAGGAAGACTTGTAATCCTTGTACAAATCCAGATCCCAAGTAACCGAGGGCCTAGTCGGCCGTGCGGTCTCGTCCTCGACACTGGAGGGGAACGACGCCGGAATGGAAACCATGATTGCTACGCTTGCGCAGATACTGAGTGAGACCCAAGGCAGACGCGGCCAGCAGAGGTTTGTGCGTTGCCCGGGAAACACGCGGTGGGGCGGGGCCTGGGGGCGGGGCGAACCGGGAGGCCGAGGACGCGGCAGAATTGTCCTCCGGCGGCCGCCATAGTGCGACTTAGCGCGTTGCTATAGAGACGAATTGGGCGGGCCAGAATACGCCGGCAAGGGTGAGGTCGACTGTGACCAAGGAGTGATCGCGGAGGTGGTAATCGGTTAAATCCGGGAGGGGCTGCTCCGAGCGCAGAACGGAAACCGAGATTTCTCCCGAGACCAGGGCGGCAGACGTCTCCCCCCCCCAGGAGAAACCATTATTATGGAAATCAGGTTGCTGGGTCGGCGGGGATTGTGCTTCCGAGCTGGTCTCTCTTTGAGAACCTTGGCTGGAGATTATCGGTGCCACTTCTTCATGAACGAACCCCCTTGTACTCCTCCTGGAGAGAG